AATCAAAATTCAAGGCAGACCCGGGCGTGATAACGAACGACGAGCTCGCGCGCATAAAAGTTTACCGCAGCCACTGAAAATTCGAGTTTATGCTCACGATACAGATGGAAAATCATGTAGTCTCATCGTGGAACAGGCCAACACTCCTCTACAGTTACCGACAAAAGAATTTCTCATGAAAAAGTGTTCAGTAACAAATATTATTAGCTACGTTTACGTTGATGACTGTGAAGAGGATAGTCGGCGTTCCGTGCTTGTCTATTTGGATGATAAATCAATATTAAATTTTTCATTTGGTGACTGTTTCATTGGTTTGACGAGAGAATATTTGTATAAAGACACAGTCAAAAAATTACAAAAGCAAGCAAAAACGAATGGTAAAACTGAAATAGTTATGGATGAATGGAGTAGATATGGTCAATATACGGCGTTATTTGATCCGATTACATTCATTCTATACGCTGTTAGAATAGAATTAGTCTCGAGTACATCAAAAACTGAAACAACAATATTACTTCCACTAAATCAAATGAAATAATCACAATAGAAGATGTTAAGAAAAGAAGAACAATATATTAAAATTGATCTAAACTATGTGAGCAGAACTATTTCCTTTAGAATTAATGTGAGTCAGTTTTAAATTAAGAGTGCTAATCATGCTTGCAATCAAGCTAGTATCAAATTGGTTAATTGTACCATTAGAGACAATTGAAAAAATATTTATTCGTACGCGGTTTTATCCGAAAAGTTAATCGTTCACATTGTCTCGTTAATAGAAAAATGTTTCACTGTTCTGTTAACGATGACAGAATTGTGAACTGATTTTTCAATAAAAAAGGAAAATAAGTCCAGAAATATACTGGAATGTTAACGGTAATTAACTGAGTGAGAAAGAAACGATGTCAAACACAGAACATGACTGACCAAATAGCATATTTTCACTCAAAAAGTTTAAAACTTTTATGCACAATATACAACAAAAAGTTAATTTTGAGATAAAGCTCGTTTTGCCTTTTCTGGGTAATCTACTCGTTTGCCAATCTCGTATAATTTAGTTGCATCGGCAATTGTGTAAAAACCGTAGTAAGGCGCGCGTAAATTTCAAAGATTCCGTGACCTCTTAGGTTGTTTTTAAACACACATATTCTGATTTGGCAGAGCCTGCTGAGCACGAATATGACCTTTTTTTTCCGATTTGACCGTGTCTTCATATGGAAAAATGCAAAATACTCAGCAGGGGTCAAAAACCCGAAAAACGCTCTCCTACAGAAATTGTTCATAATGTTTTTCCTTTACATTTTGACGCTCTAAAAGCCTTATCTTCGAAATCCTTGAGTAAAACTGGTCCTAGAAATGTATTTATACCAGTTCTAACTACCTTGCCTATTATTCGGAGTCAGCGTCGAAAACTGAGTCGAATGATGTACCTTTTTATTTTATCTGATCACCTTTGTTTTTTTCAAATTTTCACATCGAAAAATTACTGAGATTTTCACAAAAAAATGCAAATCAACAAAAATTTTCGAAACGTATATCATTTGACTCAGTTTTCGACGCCGACTCCGAATAAGTCAGTTTTATTGCATGAAAAGTGTATTCTGGTGGAAAAAATTGAACAGTACAGGCAGAATTTCGACTTTTTTGCCTCTGATTTAGAAAAAGTCAAATTTCCCAGCAATGGAGAGAAATTTCAATAAAAGCAACGTACAGTTTTGTGCGCCGTTGAAAGAGGATTCCAACGCACTATAGAAAAAAATTAAATACGTAATGATTTGTATAAAGGTACACTCAGCAGATAAAATCTAGGAAATTAAATTTGCCATACTTTTTTTGATAAACTCTATTTGGGAAAACTCTTCCTTCATGGAGAGAAGTCAGAAATACCACTTATTTGGCTTACTTCTGATTTTGTACGCCGTGCATCTTTCTTCCGGGATGCACAGTGTTTCTAGAATTTGGTACAGAACACACATGAAGTTGACGAAGGCTTTTGTTCAATACTACGACGGCTCTATTGTGTTTCACTTTTCAATCCTTTAAGGATTGCGCTAAACGCGTTGTTATTGAGTTCGTTCGATTCGTTTGTTGAATTAAACTTTTGAGGTATGCTGCTTTTTAGAGCATAGCTTTACTCGGCACGCTAAACTGATTTCTCTCGAATGAGTATGGGTGGTCGTTTGTACATCTGAGTTTTAAATCTCTTTACAAAGATACTTGATCCTACCAGCGATAGAACCGTCTACTGTTTCATTTTATTAAGGCGTTGAAACGTGTTGGATTTGTAAAAATGCATGATGAAAGTTAAAAAATTTCATACTTCTAAATGCATTAACTTGTATATGGTAATCACTCATTCTTCGATATACATCGTGCTATTATAATCAATGCAAAAAAATTAAGTTGCCCTGTTATTCTGTCAAAAACGTTGTGCCTTAAAAATGAAATTCCGGTTTTTTATGCACTGCCCTGGACAGTTATTTGCCAGTAAGCAGCTTAATACGCTCATAAAATAAGTTTATACTTCTAATCTAAGCAACGCCAGCTGTGTTAAAATTTATCATCTCACGATGTGATAAGTAAGCATCATTTGCTAAATAATTTAATTTTAGATCCAATTGTTTAACGTTTCGATATCGAGCAAAGCTTCTCTAAACAGAATCTTGTAATTATTCTTCGTGACTTTTAGAATAGTAACTTGATCATAAGTTGACTCACCATGAATACTAGAATAAGATATAAATGTTCTTCTGGCATCAGAACGGATGCGGAATTTGAGAATAGAAGACTAGTCGGAATTTTGAGAATAGAATCGTCTTCGTGGATGTAATATTTTTAATTTTATTTTATCAAATGTTCAGGATAGTTGCCACGATTATTTATATCAAGTTCAATCCTTTCTAACAATTTATTAAAAATTTTTTTGAACTCTTTTACTAAAAAATGTTTAGCTACCTTGGAAACTACATGAGCACATCACATTTCATTTATTTTAATTAGTTAAACTACGTTCGATAGAATTATTTAACTAAAGGTATGACGAATATGGCTGATGCGACGGTATATTGATGCCTTCTTCTATCAAATAACAAATAACATTAGATGAGATGAAGTCAGCGATGACCGTCAAGTAGTTTTCTATATTTTGAACCTGGCCTCTCTGTTTGTTTTCGTATTACGTTAACAAAAAGCTTCAGACAATTTTCAATATAATACTTGTGATCTACGGTCCTGCCTTTATCTACACTCAGGACTATTTGATTTAATGAATATACGAATCAAAGGTTTGCTTCAAATCTGTCTCCATGAACAATTGTCTTTAACGATTCATCTTCAATATGCCAGCTAGCATCAGATGACTTATGACTAATCTATCTAAACTGAATTCATATCTTATTACTAGTAGTGCTAGAACGCAACTGACATGATCGAACAAAAGTTCGCTAAATTTTAAAACAAATGAAATGTGATGTGTTCATGTGGTTTCCAACGTAGCTAAACATTTTTTAGTAAAAGAGTTCAAAAAATTTTTTAATAAATTGTTAGAAAGGATTGAACTTGATATAAATAATCATGGCAACTATCCTGAACATTTGATAAAATTAAATTAAAAATATTTCCTTATCTTTGTATTTTTATTTAATGTTGCCAGAACATTAACATTTGGTCAGCCCTACGTATTATTCATGTTGTCTATCTGCAACAGTACTAGCAAGCTGAATGACCAAGTAGAATATATGCATTATATAAAATTAATTAACAACTCAGTCACTTTTGATGTCTGATATATAAAAGTTCATAAAAAATAACACACGGAAAAACATAAACAAAATGCGAACGAAAGAAGCTTTTCATATATTTCTTCTGCGATGCAAACATTGAACAAAAGTACTGTACATTCTACGATTACTCTGGTTGCGCCGATCATTATTTTAGCGGCTTGCTGATTGGTGAAGCAATTAGAAGTGATGAGTGACAATGGGGATACCTTAAGAGGGTTTATGTACCAATTGTTTTACTTTTGGTGTTAGTTCTTCATAAAATCTCAGGAATATTTTGTCCCTTCCATTTGTGGGTAGTTTCTTGTATGTCGGATAGTCTCGGATTATTTGGTTGAATCCCGTATCAAATAAACCTAATGTCTTTTCAATTTCAACGGCTGATGGTCGCTGTCTTGGATTAGTGTCAATACAGCGAGATATTAGTTCCCAAAATACAGGACTCTGTTTCGTAAGAATCGCTTTTCTGTTCACCATGTCATAGTTGTGTGTATTCTCAGTAAAGAGATGGTTTAGTGTCAAGCCAAAAGTATAAACGTCTAAACTTTGATCATATACACCTGTATAGAACTCGTACGGCATGTATTTCTGACATCCTATAATGGTGTGATGATGATTAGGACTAATTACTCGCGCTATTCCCATATCACCGATTTTTGCAGTGTAATCTTCTGAGACGAGAATGTTATCGGGACGAATATCTCTGTGAATCATTCGATGGTCGTGGATCTTCCGCATTCCACTAGCAATATTTAGTGCCATCACCAATTTTCGATGAAGCGAAAGTTTTTCTTTTTGATTGAGCACATCCGTTAGACTTCCTCGCTCCATGTACTCCAGAATGAGCATGTACTTGGTACCCTTCCCATCAAGTAGTGTTTGATTGCAATAACCAAATATTTTTAAAATATATGCTCCAGATAACTCTCGATAAGCGGCCAGTTCTTTCATAAAACTTTTCAATCGTTCAGATGCGTCATCAAATAGTGGAACAGTTAAAACTTTGCACGCCACTACACGATTTTTTGATAACCACTTTGACTTGTACACGTAGCCTAGAATATTCTATTGATTATTATCTTAACACTTTTCAGACAATTGATGTACTTACCGAAACCGCCGTGGCCAAGTTCATCTCCGAGCTCGATGTCATCTCGATTTATCTTTGGTATAACTTCGCTGTTCACAATAATAATCGGATGATCGGATTTGTGCGTACCTGTGATGACACCGTTAGAAGCACATCGTTGACAAAGGTCATAATCGGGACAAATGTCGCATTTGAAACGTAAACCTCTAAATGATGGTTCTGAACAGCCATTGCACGTAACATTTTCATGTATGTTATCACGAAATAACCTTTTAAAATTTTCGAATGTCACCTCATCGCTCCGAAAAATTTTTCCGAATAGTTCATTTGGTATTGTGAAATGAGCAACAGCATGCCCTGTCAGATGGGTTTTTGTCTGTTTTCGGTTCTCAAAGCAGGAAGCACAAAGGTTATAATTATCACAGTGAAGGCACTTGTATCGATCACGTTTGAATTTTACCAAGTGACAACTGTCGCATGTCACGTCATGTTGATCTGTCTTTTCTCTAGATCCAATATCGCTAAGCGACAATGCTTTGAGACATTGAATCAGTACAGTATCGAAATCAGCACGCTCGTTGTCTATACAAAAACAAGCCAATTAAGATTTTCTGAATAGAGCTGAGGAAGAACGGAAGATTCTGAAGGAAAAAAACCTGAGAGTTTTGCAAATTTAGTTTTCTCAATTTCTTATAAATACGTTATAGAATAGAATAAATAATCTACATTCTATAGCTTTGAACTCGATATGATGGTTTCTAAATGAACTTTAAATTTTATAACTATTAAGAGAGGTTTCGCTAGCCGATCAAGTGTATAGCAAAAGAGCTATAACCCGAAATTTTTTAACCTATGGTTTTTATTACATATTCGGGTTCTATGCTTCAAACTGAGGTTATAAACAAATGTTTAGACCCTTCGAACTTATTTTGGTTGAGTTATAGAATTTTCGAAATGCGGTGTATCAGAGTTTTGCGAAAAAGTGCTTCCCTCAGTATTTTGTGCATATCTCCGCTAAATTTTGTCCATTCTCTTTGAACAACATTTCATTGAAGCGTCTGACAAAAACTGAACAAAACCATGGGCTTTTACATTTTTTTTGAAGTATGACGTCGATGTATTAAAAATCAAACATTTGAAAATTCGTGTTTTTAAAATCGAAATTTTTCGAATAAAACTAAATTTTTGGCATCCACGTAGCATTTGCCCCAGCTAAAAAATATTGCATCAAATAGAGAATTCAATTCTGTCCAAATTGAACTATAAAGCCTTATTTCAAGAGGTGGGCAAAACTGTGAAAATTCAAGAACAAGATGGTGGACTAAGACCACTCTTTCTGTTTTTTTGATTTTTCACAGCCTAAAATCGACTTTAACAGAAAAATAGGATGATATTCGGAATCAGCCGCCAAAACTGCATCCAGTGATGTGCTTCGCAAGGACTTTGAAGAAACAAATTTTAAAGCGAAAAACGGTGAAAACAGATGCAAATTGAAAAAAAGCAATGCATTTTTCGATTTTAAAAACACGAATTTTCACATGTTTGATTTTTAATACATCGACGTCATACTTCAAAAAAAATGTAAAAGCCCATGGTTTTGTTCAGTTTTTGTCAGACGCTTCAATGAAATGTTGTTCAAAGAGAATGGACAAAATTTAGCGGAGATATGCACAAAATACTGAGGGAAGCACTTTTTCGCAAAACTCTGATACACCGCATTTCGAAAATTCTATAACTCAACCAAAATAAGTTCGAAGGGTCTAAACATTTGTTTATAACCTCAGTTTGAAGCATAGAACCCGAATATGTAATAAAAACCATAGGTTAAAAAATTTCGGGTTATAGCTCTTTTGCTATACACTTGATCGGCTAGCGAAACCTCTCTTAATAGTTATAAAATTTAAAGTTCATTTAGAAACCATCATATCGAGTTCAAAGCTATAGAATGTAGATTATTTATTCTATTCTATAACGTATTTATAAGAAATTGAGAAAACTAAATTTGCAAAACTCTCAGGTTTTTTTCCTTCAGAATCTTCCGTTCTTCCTCAGCTCTATTCAGAAAATCTTAATTGGCTTGTTTTTGTATAGACAACGAGCGTGCTGATTTCGATACTGTACTGATTCAATGTCTCAAAGCATTGTCGCTTAGCGATATTGGATCTAGAGAAAAGACAGATCAACATGACGTGACATGCGACAGTTGTCACTTGGTAAAATTCAAACGTGATCGATACAAGTGCCTTCACTGTGATAATTATAACCTTTGTGCTTCCTGCTTTGAGAACCGAAAACAGACAAAAACCCATCTGACAGGGCATGCTGTTGCTCATTTCACAATACCAAATGAACTATTCGGAAAAATTTTTCGGAGCGATGAGGTGACATTCGAAAATTTTAAAAGGTTATTTCGTGATAACATACATGAAAATGTTACGTGCAATGGCTGTTCAGAACCATCATTTAGAGGTTTACGTTTCAAATGCGACATTTGTCCCGATTATGACCTTTGTCAACGATGTGCTTCTAACGGTGTCATCACAGGTACGCACAAATCCGATCATCCGATTATTATTGTGAACAGCGAAGTTATACCAAAGATAAATCGAGATGACATCGAGCTCGGAGATGAACTTGGCCACGGCGGTTTCGGTAAGTACATCAATTGTCTGAAAAGTGTTAAGATAATAATCAATAGAATATTCTAGGCTACGTGTACAAGTCAAAGTGGTTATCAAAAAATCGTGTAGTGGCGTGCAAAGTTTTAACTGTTCCACTATTTGATGACGCATCTGAACGATTGAAAAGTTTTATGAAAGAACTGGCCGCTTATCGAGAGTTATCTGGAGCATATATTTTAAAAATATTTGGTTATTGCAATCAAACACTACTTGATGGGAAGGGTACCAAGTACATGCTCATTCTGGAGTACATGGAGCGAGGAAGTCTAACGGATGTGCTCAATCAAAAAGAAAAACTTTCGCTTCATCGAAAATTGGTGATGGCACTAAATATTGCTAGTGGAATGCGGAAGATCCACGACCATCGAATGATTCACAGAGATATTCGTCCCGATAACATTCTCGTCTCAGAAGATTACACTGCAAAAATCGGTGATATGGGAATAGCGCGAGTAATTAGTCCTAATCATCATCACACCATTATAGGATGTCAGAAATACATGCCGTACGAGTTCTATACAGGTGTATATGATCAAAGTTTAGACGTTTATACTTTTGGCTTGACACTAAACCATCTCTTTACTGAGAATACACACAACTATGACATGGTGAACAGAAAAGCGATTCTTACGAAACAGAGTCCTGTATTTTGGGAACTAATATCTCGCTGTATTGACACTAATCCAAGACAGCGACCATCAGCCGTTGAAATTGAAAAGACATTAGGTTTATTTGATACGGGATTCAACCAAATAATCCGAGACTATCCGACATACAAGAAACTACCCACAAATGGAAGGGACAAAATATTCCTGAGATTTTATGAAGAACTAACACCAAAAGTAAAACAATTGGTACATAAACCCTCTTAAGGTATCCCCATTGTCACTCATCACTTCTAATTGCTTCACCAATCAGCAAGCCGCTAAAATAATGATCGGCGCAACCAGAGTAATCGTAGAATGTACAGTACTTTTGTTCAATGTTTGCATCGCAGAAGAAATATATGAAAAGCTTCTTTCGTTCGCATTTTGTTTATGTTTTTCCGTGTGTTATTTTTTATGAACTTTTATATATCAGACATCAAAAGTGACTGAGTTGTTAATTAATTTTATATAATGCATATATTCTACTTGGTCATTCAGCTTGCTAGTACTGTTGCAGATAGACAACATGAATAATACGTAGGGCTGACCAAATGTTAATGTTCTGGCAACATTAAATAAAAATACAAAGATAAGGAAATATTTTTAATTTAATTTTATCAAATGTTCAGGATAGTTGCCATGATTATTTATATCAAGTTCAATCCTTTCTAACAATTTATTAAAAAATTTTTTGAACTCTTTTACTAAAAAATGTTTAGCTACGTTGGAAACCACATGAACACATCACATTTCATTTGTTTTAAAATTTAGCGAACTTTTGTTCGATCATGTCAGTTGCGTTCTAGCACTACTAGTAATAAGATATGAATTCAGTTTAGATAGATTAGTCATAAGTCATCTGATGCTAGCTGGCATATTGAAGATGAATCGTTAAAGACAATTGTTCATGGAGACAGATTTGAAGCAAACCTTTGATTCGTATATTCATTAAATCAAATAGTCCTGAGTGTAGATAAAGGCAGGACCGTAGATCACAAGTATTATATTGAAAATTGTCTGAAGCTTTTTGTTAACGTAATACGAAAACAAACAGAGAGGCCAGGTTCAAAATATAGAAAACTACTTGACGGTCATCGCTGACTTCATCTCATCTAATGTTATTTGTTATTTGATAGAAGAAGGCATCAATATACCGTCGCATCAGCCATATTCGTCATACCTTTAGTTAAATAATTCTATCGAACGTAGTTTAACTAATTAAAATAAATGAAATGTGATGTGCTCATGTAGTTTCCAAGGTAGCTAAACATTTTTTAGTAAAAGAGTTCAAAAAAATTTTTAATAAATTGTTAGAAAGGATTGAACTTGATATAAATAATCGTGGCAACTATCCTGAACATTTGATAAAATAAAATTAAAAATATTACATCCACGAAGACGATTCTATTCTCAAAATTCCGACTAGTCTTCTATTCTCAAATTCCGCATCCGTTCTGATGCCAGAAGAACATTTATATCTTATTCTAGTATTCATGGTGAGTCAACTTATGATCAAGTTACTATTCTAAAAGTCACGAAGAATAATTACAAGATTCTGTTTAGAGAAGCTTTGCTCGATATCGAAACGTTAAACAATTGGATCTAAAATTAAATTATTTAGCAAATGATGCTTACTTATCACATCGTGAGATGATAAATTTTAACACAGCTGGCGTTGCTTAGATTAGAAGTATAAACTTATTTTATGAGCGTATTAAGCTGCTTACTGGCAAATAACTGTCCAGGGCAGTGCATAAAAAACCGGAATTTCATTTTTAAGGCACAACGTTTTTGACAGAATAACAGGGCAACTTAATTTTTTTGCATTGATTATAATAGCACGATGTATATCGAAGAATGAGTGATTACCATATACAAGTTAATGCATTTAGAAGTATGAAATTTTTTAACTTTCATCATGCATTTTTACAAATCCAACACGTTTCAACGCCTTAATAAAATGAAACAGTAGACGGTTCTATCGCTGGTAGGATCAAGTATCTTTGTAAAGAGATTTAAAACTCAGATGTACAAACGACCACCCATACTCATTCGAGAGAAATCAGTTTAGCGTGCCGAGTAAAGCTATGCTCTAAAAAGCAGCATACCTCAAAAGTTTAATTCAACAAACGAATCGAACGAACTCAATAACAACGCGTTTAGCGCAATCCTTAAAGGATTGAAAAGTGAAACACAATAGAGCCGTCGTAGTATTGAACAAAAGCCTTCGTCAACTTCATGTGTGTTCTGTACCAAATTCTAGAAACACTGTGCATCCCGGAAGAAAGATGCACGGCGTACAAAATCAGAAGTAAGCCAAATAAGTGGTATTTCTGACTTCTCTCCATGAAGGAAGAGTTTTCCCAAATAGAGTTTATCAAAAAAAGTATGGCAAATTTAATTTCCTAGATTTTATCTGCTGAGTGTACCTTTATACAAATCATTACGTATTTAATTTTTTTCTATAGTGCGTTGGAATCCTCTTTCAACGGCGCACAAAACTGTACGTTGCTTTTATTGAAATTTCTCTCCATTGCTGGGAAATTTGACTTTTTCTAAATCAGAGGCAAAAAAGTCGAAATTCTGCCTGTACTGTTCAATTTTTTCCACCAGAATACACTTTTCATGCAATAAAACTGACTTATTCGGAGTCGGCGTCGAAAACTGAGTCAAATGATATACGTTTCGAAAATTTTTGTTGATTTGCATTTTTTTGTGAAAATCTCAGTAATTTTTCGATGTGAAAATTTGAAAAAAACAAAGGTGATCAGATAAAATAAAAAGGTACATCATTCGACTCAGTTTTCGACGCTGACTCCGAATAATAGGCAAGGTAGTTAGAACTGGTATAAATACATTTCTAGGACCAGTTTTACTCAAGGATTTCGAAGATAAGGCTTTTAGAGCGTCAAAATGTAAAGGAAAAACATTATGAACAATTTCTGTAGGAGAGCGTTTTTCGGGTTTTTGACCCCTGCTGAGTATTTTGCATTTTTCCATATGAAGACACGGTCAAATCGGAAAAAAAAGGTCATATTCGTGCTCAGCAGGCTCTGCCAAATCAGAATATGTGTGTTTAAAAACAACCTAAGAGGTCACGGAATCTTTGAAATTTACGCGCGCCTTACTACGGTTTTTACACAATTGCCGATGCAACTAAATTATACGAGATTGGCAAACGAGTAGATTACCCAGAAAAGGCAAAACGAGCTTTATCTCAAAATTAACTTTTTGTTGTATATTGTGCATAAAAGTTTTAAACTTTTTGAGTGAAAATATGCTATTTGGTCAGTCATGTTCTGTGTTTGACATCGTTTCTTTCTCACTCAGTTAATTACCGTTAACATTCCAGTATATTTCTGGACTTATTTTCCTTTTTTATTGAAAAATCAGTTCACAATTCTGTCATCGTTAACAGAACAGTGAAACATTTTTCTATTAACGAGACAATGTGAACGATTAACTTTTCGGATAAAACCGCGTACGAATAAATATTTTTTCAATTGTCTCTAATGGTACAATTAACCAATTTGATACTAGCTTGATTGCAAGCATGATTAGCACTCTTAATTTAAAACTGACTCACATTAATTCTAAAGGAAATAGTTCTGCTCACATAGTTTAGATCAATTTTAATATATTGTTCTTCTTTTCTTAACATCTTCTATTGTGATTATTTCATTTGATTTAGTGGAAGTAATATTGTTGTTTCAGTTTTTGATGTACTCGAGACTAATTCTATTCTAACAGCGTATAGAATGAATGTAATCGGATCAAATAACGCCGTATATTGACCATATCTACTCCATTCATCCATAACTATTTCAGTTTTACCATTCGTTTTTGCTTGCTTTTGTAATTTTTTGACTGTGTCTTTATACAAATATTCTCTCGTCAAACCAATGAAACAGTCACCAAATGAAAAATTTAATATTGATTTATCATCCAAATAGACAAGCACGGAACGCCGACTATCCTCTTCACAGTCATCAACGTAAACGTAGCTAATAATATTTGTTACTGAACACTTTTTCATGAGAAATTCTTTTGTCGGTAACTGTAGAGGAGTGTTGGCCTGTTCCACGATGAGACTACATGATTTTCCATCTGTATCGTGAGCATAAACTCGAATTTTCAGTGGCTGCGGTAAACTTTTATGCGCGCGAGCTCGTCGTTCGTTATCACGCCCGGGTCTGCCTTGAATTTTGATTTGAACTCCAAGGGCAAACGTAACTAGTTTTGTTGGTTCTAAATTAACCACACTGTCAGTTAACCAATGATATTCGCCATTACTAGATGGTGGGCCGATGTTAACTGTTATACATTCGCACCATATACCCTCATGATTTTCATATTCAGCGGTGAATTCGATAATTGAAACAGATTCTTTGCCAGTATTTTGAATTAGTATTTTTGGAATGAAAAAATAATTGATGAATGCACCCCCTTTTGTCCTTACATCTTGATTTGCTTCCATTTTCAAAGTATTTCCCAAAGTTAATAAACGTATCACAGAATCTCCTTGGCAAACATGTTTTGTTGTCTTTGCTTGCTCTGCTGCAACTAGTTCGGGTCCTTGTCGTTGAGGTTCCGGGATTTTTGAACTAAAATCAGTATTTACAATTTCGTCTTCATCTTCTGATTCTGACTTTAATTCTAATTCTAATTCTGCTTTTGATTCATGCGGTTGTGCCTCGGTAGCACTCAAACTCTGTTGTACATCGGCTAAAAAGCAATTTTTTTACATAGATTGTAAGCACTCAAATAGTCCTTCGGGCCACAAGACTTTTCTTACTTTCAAAACACTCTGTGCCAACTGTCTGCTTAATTTTTTCAATTAATACTTGACATTTGATATTAAAATTTTGTTCTGTAATATTTTTAAAATCAAGATATAATAGATCTGTGATACTGAATCCCAGCCAAGCCGAAGGCTTCCAGCCGGCGATCGTCATACAGGGTATAATTGGGACACCTCTCTGTGAAGCATAAGTTAATTCCTTTTTACAATTTTCCGATTGCTGATATTCTTTTGTCGGAAAACAGACAATTGCTGATGCATTTTCCACGCCTTCGGCCATACTGTAAATGATAAAAGAGAAAATGCTCAGAATAGAAGAAGAGAATATTTCCCATTCATTAAATTGTAACTATATTCATACCTTGAACTTAAGCATTTTTTCATACCACCCTTAGTATCCATCCATACTCGAATGCCATTATCTTTCAAATACTGGTACACATCACACACAAGTTTTTGTGTGTTCCACTGATATGAAAGCATAATATGTTTTTCATCTTTGATCTTTTCAGCCATTGTTCCTTTATTGAGTTAAGTCTACAATAATTAGACAAGAATGAAGTGCATATTAGATCTAATACTTAGAATAATCTAATCTTTTATACTAGAAAACAGCGAAAAGAAAGGATGATGATAATAGTGTGTAATGAAGTTTTGTTTTGTCTCCAAGCTACTTTTTATCCAGTTAAACTTACATCGTAAAAAACAGCATTGGCTATTACTTTTTCTTATCAAAGTTTTTTAGAGCCTTTTAAAAGAAAAAATAATGTGAATGTACTGTCCTTTTGAAAATTATTTTTTTCCCTTTGCGTTATTAACGTTCAACTTCTTCTTTTGAAGAACTTTTTCTTTTTATTCGCATGTTCAAATTTGAATAACAAACTCAATGTGTTTTTCATGAATGTAAACTCTTCATAAACACATTTTCTGTAATTACTCTTTGTGCAATAATATAAAACATTCCTACTGATACATTCTTAGTTTTGTTGATGAAAGTGGAATAAAGACGCACAAAGAAGAAAGAAAAGGTTGGGCCATCTACTCACCTTCATAAGAACTTTGCTCGATAATCTAGACTCGCATGACACCGCAAGAGCATTCTTGATAAGTTTACGGAACTATGTATGCATAGACTAAACAGGAAAAGGGTTGAAATTCCTTTTCTTTACCGGAGGCCTGATTAGCCATCTTACAATCTTTGTCTAACAATGTTCGATACACGGATTCAAAATGTTAAAAGGTCTTGTACTATTTACAAACGTTTTGAAAATTAAATCACTGTCTCATACGACGTAAATTCTTGATTCAGTCCCGATTCGTCGACACTCACTCTCACACCGCCCCTCCCGCCTTTGAAATTCTCTGATGTATTTTCTTTGAAGTGTCCGATTTGTCGACGAATCGGGACGATACCAAATTCTTCTTTCTTTTTTCTTTCCAAGAAACATTTTTTTTAACTGCTGTATGTCTGTCTCATCGGTGCTACATCACTTCTTATCTATATACATTGAAATGTTCTGTTTTTCTTTTTCCCTCTTTTTGTTGTCCATTTTTTGTCCGCTTCACGTTTTCTGTCAAAGAAAATCTGGTACAATGCTCTGCAATTCCAGGTTCGTGTGATAGTCATGTACTTTACGAAATAAATAGATAAACTAAAAGACTATGGTCTAAAATTGGCAGCTGCTAGATTCAGTGTAGGCATGGCTGATCGTAATCAACAGGCGGATGTTCAGTTAATTAAACCGATCGATGGGCAACCCCGCAGACGCATGGAAATCTACATACACAACGGGATGTCCGATTTCAGGCACCGGGATGAATGACCTGACAAAGGTTATCCAATGCTGAATTTTGTAAAAATTGTGAAATTCCATTTAGCAAGGGGGGAGGGAACAATTATCATCTGATGGGCTGTCAGTGATAATGTTAGTGGGACATTAGACTGTTGAGGAGCTAGTGAAGATCAAGCTGACATGTAATCAGCACTGATTTCAGAAGTCGTATTAGATTGTTGAGAATGTGTACGGTGCTTTGAGAGAAGACAGCAGGCGACCGTACATGATCACTAATAAAATGAAAGAATGAACAAGAAACATTGTCCGGTATTACCCGTTTCCAACTTCGAAAATTCTCTTTGTGAACCTCTCCGATGTCCTAGCTTACGGAAGCGCTTAAATATATTCTAAAAAACAATTTCGCTTCTAAAATTTCTTTCAGAATCCCTTTTCTGTTTCTGAGAAAATCCTATTCCGGCGCTACATTTCTATTAGGGCTGATAACTGCACAGCGAAAAATGTTTTTTTAATTGTTTAAAAAGTCTTTTTTACGGGAAAAAAACTGAAAAGGCTGTAAATATTTGAAAAACACTTCAATTTCAACAAACTTCAAGTTTTCTACTTTAGAGATCATTCAAGTTATCGAAACTAATCTTTTGTGATTCAGTGTCAAAGATTGTCTATAGAAATGATATTTAATCGACTTTGACCTTAAAGGTCATTCGACTATCGCTGGCAGAATCGGCCCCCATAAAATACTCATAGATCATTCTGTAAACATATCTAGTTTTCCTGGTTGAGAGTTGAAGCCGAGTTTTTGATTTCGTTCGAACCACTAGAGTCTGACCTTCAAAAGACAGCACCGCTTTTTATGAAATTTTGCTTCGTTTATGAGATATTTCATTTTTATTGAAATTTTGACTCTTTTCCCCGAAACGGGCAGGCCTATTTCGAAAAAAATTTCCATTGAAAGATCTTCTAGGAAACCAGTTTCTAAAATCCTCCTGGAAACCTTTTGAAGATCTCGATATGGTTTCCATCCGATTCTAAGATGCTTTTCACCCATATATCCAAAGGTTCATTGGTTGAAGTCAAAAATGGATGATTTTGTTGAAAAAGACCTGTCTGTTTTGCGGCAGAAGAGTCAACATTTCATAAACAATTAAAAAGAAAACGGAAAAATTTACTTTTCGTACGAATTTCCGGCAACAACGAGAAAGGTCAACACAAGTCAGATTTCCTTATTAAATCTTTACCTCTCGAAAGACGTCAGAGAATTGAAACTTTTCGTTATTTTAGTCAGTTAACTGCTACCTAAAAACCAGAGGGGAAGACAATATACTGTTCTCCTTCTCCAGCTTTTAAAAGGTAAGAGTATATAGTGAAATATTAGTTAACAAAATCAGAAACCTTCAAACGTTCCGAGTTTGCCCGCTGAATAAACCTGTAAAATAATTTTTAAAAGTCCAAAAATCCCATAAAAGGCTTCATCTAGAGATGGACTAAGAAATTCTTCTTAGGTTCCCAAAAGCGCCTCGATTCCAGAAAACAGTCTGCTGTTATACACTTGTGTGAGTTTCTACGAATTTTCCTTCATAAAAAATGTCAAACATATTTTTACATCGGACATTTTTTTCAAAAATACACGTATGAAAGTGTCACAAAACATATATGTAGCTTGCTTACCTTTCAGAGAATATCTCTCCTGAAATTGTATAACCATTTATTTCTTAATCAAATTTCTGAGAAAATATTTATTGTAGCAAGCACAACCGAAGATTGTATGAATGTTTTTATTTGATTCGCACTATATGTAGAAAAACCTAATATATACGTGCTTTTACAATTACTCTCTTCTTTCGCTTTTAATTAAAAACAGAAATCATTGCGATGACAAAATGCCACGTATCGATAACAGTGATAGCCCACGAAAGAAAAAAGAAGAATCATTTATGCTTTTATGTACAATGATGATAGTTCGCAGGGAGGGAGATGAATCTACACAGAGCCAAATAAATAAAACCTCCTACACATCAAGGTAGTAAACATTGTCATAATTTGTGATGTATAAAAGTGAGTTGTGTAAAAACTGAAGGATAAAACTAATTCATCAGTGCAGTTAGTAATCATCTACTTTCCTTTGAAAAATATTTGTTTTAATTTCTGTCGCTTTTTAATTACACGTTTTCATTAGTCATGAAGGCAAGCATGCGAAAAAAAGAACAGCAAAGAAGCTATATAACAAATTTTTACCTATGGATACTTTCTTTTTTACTCTAACGGGTGCTTCAGAAGAAATTGCGCTCTTGGGATTTTCGTCTTTTCTTCCTTTTCGATATTCGTTATTATAACATGCGATACAAAAACCGGAGCGAATTTCAAATTTTGTGTTATAGCAAAGGAACGTCCGAACAGCTACAAGTTTCTAACGTAAAAGAGAAAAGTTTAGAGAACAAAGCAGGCGCCTAAGTTTGCATTTGACATCCATTTTTTAGTCAAGACACAGTGGCTCCTTGAATGTTTCAACTTCCGTTTTGGCTTGAAAGCCGCCAAGAATTTTTCGAACTTTATTTTCAACTGGAGTCTTTTCAGGAAATCTAGAACTACACAGACTACAAGTATGAAGTTTTTGAACAACGTTTAATTCTTAAAAATGGAGTGACAAAAAAATGTGTCACAGCATTACCAAAAATGTCACAGCGTTACTTTAGTAAAGTGAGTTTTATAAACAAAGTAAAGGGTTCTGAAAAAAAATTTGTTAGCTCCTCTATAAACTTTGCTCAAGATACTTTTTATTAGCTCTTCTAAAATCGCAGGGCCTTTTTATGTCACAGCGTCACCGGTCTAAAAGGGTTTTGTGGAAGCTCGAATCTTTAACAAAAACCTTCGTTTTTATATTCAAAGTAGAATAAGCCTTACTCTACTTTGACGCGGCTCTTCGAAAGAGCCGCGTCGAATGACGCCAAAATGAACTTTCTAGCTCTTGTGGTTTTCGAGAAAACCTCAAATTACTGTGTTAAAAATGTCACAGCGTTACCTTTGAGCAAGCCGTAAAGCGAAAGCACACAACAACTTTCTCGGTATGATATTCGTTCTGTATTTGCTAATTAAATCTAAAGTTAATAATCCCTCTGTAACTGAAAACAAGATCAATAAAAATAAGAATAATGATAATTCGTGTCGTGCTTACGAACTCTTATTGTTCTCTTTTTCTTCCAACCAGTGAGTTGTTTTGCCTTGCTATATAAATAAAATCCCTACAGGATTGAAAAGTGAATAGAGCCATCGTAGTATTGGACAAAAGCCTTCGTCCAGTTCAAGTATGTTCTGTGCCAAATTCTAGAAACACTGCGGCTAAAGCAAAAGGAAAGATAATAAGTCAACACATTGTTTTCTACGAGATCACGTACCAGGCTCAGCCTGGGCAATGTTTTATTTTGTAGAGTAAACTGTCTTCTTTATCAAACGAACTCTCATGGGCATTTATTTCAAAAGTTATAACTCAGTAAGTGAGTAACCCAAAAGCCATTTTTCACCTGATTTTTGGTAACTTCTCTCTATTTATAGCGGCGTCTCTAAGAGTTCATTTGACTACCACATCAAAGAAGACAATTTACTCTAAAAAATAAGACATTCTCAGGCTTCTACATTATTTCGTTGTGGAGTCATAATTATTTCAAAACCTAACGGACGTAAATGGACTTTTACGTGGACAAGCAGCGTACCACCATCGATTGCAAG